GCCTCATGGAGCATCATCGATCCAGCCCCCGATGAGGCATCGGCGGTTCTCTTCATTCGGACCACTAGCGCGGACTCATCGTTTTCTTCTTCTTCTTCTTATTCATCTTTGTCCCTTTGATGCAGAACGGATTCCATGGTCAAAGGAATGACCTTCTTGTTCGGCTTGTGAGCCATCCTCTTCTTCGGTTTTGGATCTTCGGGAATGGAGGCTCTTTTCTTTTTATGTTCCTTCACCGGCTTTGGAACAGAGGCTAAAATTTCCTCCTCATTGGACAAGGGCCTCAAGACCGCGTCTTTACCCAAACCTGCATATGGAAAACTTTAATAAAATATTTTGAAAACCACCTCGTTCGGATTATCAAAGAGCACGAGAAATGAGCTTACCGTGATTTTAGGCCTCCCACCGACCCTTTGACAAATCACGCCATGAGCGTTCGGTGTATGTGGAGGTCGAAACAAGGGCTCGTACCCAATTCTTGAGATCGGGAACTGCTCCGGACATCCAGGGAACCGCTTCATCACAAAAAGAGGAGTGTCGATGAGAGAATAAATGAAAGAACAAAGTAGAAGTAACAGCAAGATCACACTTACATTTCATATTCCACTCCTCGGGAAAGGGCATCTTTTCAGTTGGAATCAGGGCCGAAGTCCTTACTCGAACGAACCTACCCATCCAACCCCGGTCCCTGTCCTCGTCAACACACGAGAACAGAGCCTTGGTAGCCCGACGCTAAAGTTTTATTAACCCTCCTCGAAAAAGTCAAGGACGGTATAATCGGATAAGATCGTCGAGGGTGAACGAAATCCCCTCGATTTTGCTTACAAAATATCGGATCAGGATAACGATCCGCCAAAAAGAAGGGTGGACCTGGCCTAGGGTTATTTGGTATTGACGACAGAAATCAATGATAACAGAATCGAGGGGACCTAAAGTGAAAGGGTAAGTATACACATTCAAAAACCATTTCACGTAAGAAGTGATATCTTCGTCAGGGGTAGGAATTATTATTTCTTTTTCACCCCAATTGCAATCCTTCTTTAGTTCTTTGAGGTGCTTCTCGGTTATCGAACATATGTACCTCGATACCGGCTCACATCGGCCAGGGACCGATGAACCTTTATCGACCTTAAGATCTGAAGTAAGAACACACGCCCCGGGAACACACTCCTCAGGCCGTGGTTCTGCCGGTGTCTCATCGGCGGCACACTATGAAGATGAAGCCTTCTCTTTCTGAGGAATGGTTTGTGATGTTTTCGCCATTTTCGAATTCAAAGGTGAGGAATAGAATAAAATGACAAAGATTTGGTAGAATTGAAGAGGAGTTTTCGCAGAAAGAAATCACAGATTTACTGGTAAGTTTGAGAGTACGAAGAAGAACTTGGGAAATTTGGAAGGTGGAAGAGGTAAAAGTGGTAAAAGATAAAAGAAAGGGTTATTTATAGGTTCAAGCGATGATGGTTCAGTATCAGCGGTGTCCGACCACCGCCTGACATGCATTAAATGCCTTGAAAGACTAAACCGATGGGATAGCTACCAGATGTGTCATGGTCGAACCCGATGGAAACGTCAGGTTATAATTCAATCGAGCCGTTAAAAAATCATATCATTTCTCGCCACATTCTTTTTGAGAAACGGGGGGACTATCTGTATACGGTCGAAATAAATTTCAGCCTTAGCACGTCAGATCGAGTTTGAACGGTGATCTATCGAAGTAAGATCCCGAAGGTGGAACAAATTAACCTTGAACCCGGGGAGGCCGATCGTGTCGAGTTCGTTATCATTATCAAGCTCAAATCTAAATCGAACCATGATGCAGAGTAGATCTATCATGCTGATAATCTAGAGACCAACCAACATTGACCTCGAATAAATTCGAGGGCTCGAGCCAGGATCGGGCTCGAACCAAGATCACGAGATCGAGTCGAAATCAAGCTCAAACCAAAATCAAGGGTTCTAAGCAAGATCGAGCTCGCAGACAAAAGCCGTTGCCATCCCACTAGAGAAAATCTTGGCAGAAATTATGGAAAAGCTGACTTATCATGAGTCTCCCACTGAATGTTTATTTTATTATGCTTAGAGCCAAATCCCTCCACTATAAAAGGGCTTGGTTACCATTTCTGTAAGACATGTTTTTCTCATAAGTGCTATATTCTTCTACAGTAAAGAATCGTTCTTTCAGATTTCTTAGATTGATTCTATTTGTTGAATCCTAAGATTCATTGTTCCAGACAACCTTATCTATTTCGCATTCTCTGCAATCTATATTTACATTTCTATTTATCCATACGTTTTGTGTCAAGTTACGCCACATATCGTCGAAACTGCGTATAAATTCAACTCTATCCATTTTTCAGGTAAACAAGGTCATTTCCTATGTTTAATTTGTTCGTTATGTACAAAAACGTTATTCTTTGTACTGAGTAAAGATGTTCAAATTTATTGCCTCTCATTAGCCGATAGTTTCATATTTGCTTTTGACTCTAACGGAGTTTCAACATGGACTGAGGAGCTCTAAACACCGTTAAAAACTTGATATTGTGGATTCCACCTGTTAAAATTCGGATAAATGTTCAAATTTATTTATCTACTTCTGACTGAAGTTTAAAATTACCTGTAATATACTTAATTAAAATTTATTTCTCATTTCAAAACAAAAACTCTTTCAAGTTTTAAGGCAACATGTTTTTCTTCCCTTTTACAGTGACATTCTGAAAACTTAATCAGCCAAAGCGTAACAAAGAAAATCACTCTTTTGTTTTCTAACTTTTTCTTCTTTTTTGGGGGAAGGTGATGGGATGTTGATGTCGTGCTATAATTCCATATATTTTGACGTTATTTACCCTACTTACTTGTTGTTTGGATGCTAATTTTTGCGACAATTGAGCTTAATAGAGTTTATTTTACGTGTAGAATTGCTTGGACATGAAGTGAAGAAACGTTGCACGAAATGGTACCTCAAAGTTACAAAATGCAGCAATAAAATAATACGTGCAAGGCAATGAAAAGTCACGGCCGTAGACAATCAAGGCTTTGTCTAGGACATTGTCATTGGTGCCTATGATATTGCCTCGCGGGGAAATGTTGGCGCCTATGATGGTGCATCGCGGAGTAATGTTGGTGCCTCTAACAATGCCCCGCATCGACGATGCTATTCCGAACCACTTTTATTTCCTCATTATGTTTGGACGTGTAGACTTTGGCCCCACCATATAAATACCTTTTAAAGTTAGTTTTTTAAGGGTTAGACATTATTAGAAAGGCAAGAGGCTACAAAATACTCTAGAGCATGAATCACAAGAGTTTTTCTCTCCGCTTTCCTTTAATTTGTAGTTTAATGCTTTTGGATATTACTATGAAATCTTGATTGCTCATTGATATAATTGAGCAGTATTTACTCTCTAATTGTTCAACTATGTGTTTCTTGTGGTTAATTGAAGGGCCCTTGATTAATCGTGTCTTGTTATCTTATGTTGTTTGAGAGAGAACAGTTGATTAGATTGTTGTTGAACAACGCCACTTTAGAGTAAGTTAAGAGATTAATTAATTGGATTTATAAGCGGGATTACAGATAACAAAGCTTTGGCGCGATCTTTATGAGTTGTACGAATTGTCAACTAGAGTAGTTCGAGAGAATACTTCTAGTAAATTATCGTAATTGATCGAGAAACACTTGAGATAAACAAGAACCCATCATCTTTAGAGAGTGTTGTGGAGAGATTATAGCTAACGTGTCAGGAATTAATCCGGCAACTGGAAAAATCATAAACCCTAGATCTTTTTATCATTGATTCAACCTCATTCTTGCTAGTTGATAGTTTTTATTATCATTTTTTCTTAGTTAAGTATTTTTTGTTAATTCGCAAATAAAATCTTGAACTCTGGAAGTTGTCTGAGCTTATCATTAGTGATACTGAAAAGTTTTAGCAAATAGGTTAGTTCCCTGTGGGATTTGACTCCGGACTGTTGAACCGGATTATTTTTGCAGTGATCACTTAGTCCTTTTTATAAGGCATAGTTGGGCGTGATAAAATTTTGGCATCGTTGCCGGAGAACTAACGGTTTTATTTGTTACAACTTGAAAGAATTGTTAGGATTTTTAGTTTAGATCAATTTTTCATGGTGCTAAAAATATTTCCATTGAAATTCACAGGTTTGAATTCTTCTGTGCCTCAGGTGCATGCCTAGAAGCTCCTTGAGAACTGGTGAACTATTTGAAGGTCTCTCAAATCCCGAGAAAGCATTTAGGACATTGAATCGGGCTAATAAGAAGGGCAAATAGCTAAAACAGAACAAAAAATCAAAATTGAAATGGGTGACTTCGAGAATGTCAACAAGAATAATAGAAATAATCAAATTGACCCAAACATTAGAGTGGTAGCACCCCTGGTGCCGGAAGCTGCTATATATGATTGGGCGCAACCAACCGCTGACAATCTGGAAACTGCAATAGCAGTCCCTCCGATACAAGCGAAAACTTTTCAAATTACAAACAATATGTTGCACTTGTTGCAGAACAAAGGTCTATTCTCCGGGTCTTACATCGAAGACCCACAACAACATCTGAAGAATTTTCTATCAATTTGTGTCACTCAAAGACAACCGAATGTGACACCCGAAGCAATCAGATTGTTACTGTTTCCATTCTCAATGACTGGGGAGGCTCAAACTTGGCTGAATTCGCTCCCAATAAACTCCATTGCTACTTGGGAGAAACTAGTCAAGAAGTTCTTAAACAAGTTTTATCCACCCAACAAGACTGCAAGGCAAATTGATCAGATATTGCAGTTCAGGCAGAATCCAACTGAAACTTTGCAAGAAACCTAGGATAGGTTTAAGAGTATGTTGGTGAATTGTCCACACCATGGCATCCCGAATCATATGCTAGGACAGAGATTCTATATAGGTTTGGCTTACAGTCTAAATGCTAATGTAGATGCTCAACCGGGGGTGCATTCTTGAGCAAATCATTCACACACTGTAAGATTCTTTGTGACAAAATGGCTCAAAATTCAGACTGGATGACGAGGGATACAACACTCACTCCAATAGTGCATTATGTTGCTCTTGACCCAAACAACACAAATTCAGAAAACATAGCCTCTCATGACACAGATGAGCTTGTTGACAAAGAAAATTGATGAGATGGGTACGAAACAGATTCACATTATTGAATAGTTCCCAAAACAGGTATTAGAAAAAACTTCTAATCAGGAAAAGAAACAGAGCAGTAGACAGAAGCTACTTCCAGCACCATTCCCTCAAAGGTTGGCAAAGCAAAAGAAAGATGATCTATACAGGAAATTAATGGAAATGCTCAGGCAGATTCAATTAAATATTCAGTTGATGGATGCTTTGAGGGAAGTGTCAGGTTACGCTAAAATGATGAAGGATTTGATGTCTCGAAAGTTCGACTTCCATGACCTATCTAATTGTAACTCTGATACAAACTTGTAGTGCGGCAGTAACAAGACCTATGGCTCAAAAGTTGTCTGATCCAGGTAGTTTCACTATCCCGTGCATAATTGGAATTTATGTTTTTGCTAAAGCATTGTGTGACTTGGGGGACAATATTAACTTGATGCCTTTGGAAATCTACAAAAAGTTAGGCATTGGTAGAGCTAGACCAACATCAATGTTGTTGCAACTAGCTGATCGCATAGTAAAAATACCAACAGGAATTCTGGATGATGTGCTCGTCCAAGTGGGGAAGTTTGTATTTCTTGCTGATTTTGTTATTCTTGACTGCCAGATTGACGAAACAATACCTATAATTTTAGGAAGGCCATTTTTAGCTACTAGGAGAGCATTGATTGATTGTGAGACTGGAGAGTTAAAAATGAGGTTGAACAATGAAGAAATAATATTCAACGGTCAACAATATATGAGGAGACCCAGCGAATTTGCAAATTATTTGCTAGTTGAGGCAATTGATGTGACTACAAGAGGAGGATCAGACTGTTCATGTCAGAGACCCATTAGAAGCTTGCTTGATGAATCTAAAAGAAGTTGATGGTGAAAAGTTGGCGGAATGGGTTATGGTTCCTGAAGGTCAGGGTTTTTGGAAAAGAGAACCTCAATTTGAACCCTTACACTGAGAAGAAAGAAAACTACCACCTACGAAGCCGTCAATAGAGGAACCACCACAGTTGGACCTAAAACTGCTTCCAGCTCACCTCAGGTATGATTTCTTAAGGTCTAACTCTAATTTACATGTTATTATCTCATCTGGTTTGTTAGTTGTGTAGGTAGAACAACTCTTTCAGGTGTTATAGAAATGTAAGACTACTATTGGTTGGACCATGGCAGACATTAAGGGTATCAGCCCAGCCTTTTTCATGCATAAGTTTCTCTTGGAAGAGGGGCACAAACCTTCCAAGGAACATCAAAAAAGGTTGAACATGAATATGAAGGAAGTGGTAAGAAGGAAGTGACTAAGTGGTTGGATGCGGGCATCATCGTTTTGATTTCAGATAGCGTCTGGGTAAGCCCAGTCCAATGTGTTCCAATAAAGGTGACATGACTATCCTACATAATGAGAATAATGAGTTGATCTCTACTCGTACAGTCACGGGTTGGCGAATTTGCATATATTACAAAAAACTGAACACTGCCACTTGGAAATACCACTTTCCCCTGTCGTTCATTGACCAAATGTTGAATAGATTAGCATGGAGGTCTCACTTCTGCTTTTTGGATGGATATTCGGGGTAAAATCATATCACAATATCCCATGAGGATAGAGAGAAAATGTCATTCACTTCTCCGTATGGTATCTTTGCCTTTCAAAGAATGTCGTTTGGCATATGCAATGTACCAACCACTTTCCAGAGGTGTATGCTAGCCATTTTCACTGATATGGTTGAAGATATTATGGAAGTATTTATGGATGATTTCTCAGTGGTGGAGAATTTATTTGATGACTGTCTTAACAATTTGAGAAGAGTGTTGAAAAGGTGTGTGAAGACAAACCTGGTGCTGAACTGGGAGAAGTGCCATTTATGGTACAAGAAGGTATATTTTGGGGGCATCGAGTGTCAAGTAAGGGTATTGAGGTCGATCATACTAAGGTTGACATGATAGAAAAGTTGCCACAGCCCACTTCGGTCAAGGCAGTAAGAAGTTTCCTTGGGCACGCCGATTTCTACAGGCGATTTATATAGGATTTTTCTAAAATGGCTAATCCCTTATGTAAACTTCTTGAAAAGGATCACCCCTTTGTGTTTTCTGATGATTGCAGGTTAGCATTTGAGGATCTGAAGAAGAGATTAGTGACTACACCAATCATCGTTGCACCCGACTGGGAGCAGCCGTTTGAGCTCATGTGAGATGCGAGTGACTATGATGTAGGAGCAGTTTTGGGGCAGCGAAAGGACAAAATGGTACATCCAATTTACTATTCAAGAAGAACGCTAAGCGGTGCACAACTCAACTATACTGTGACTGAGAAAAAGATGTTGGCTGTAATGTTTGCATTCGACAAATTCAGGTCTTATTTGATAGGTTCAAAAGTGATTGTTTATACTGACTATGCAGCACTTAGGTACTTGATAGCAAAGAAAAAGTCAAAACCACGCTTGATCCGTTGGGTTCTTTTGCTACAAGAATTCGATTTGGAGATCCACGATAGGAAAGGAACGGAGAACAAAGTGGCAGTCCACCTTTCAAGATTGGAGGGAGCTAAAAAGAAAGTAGAGGTTGAAGATATAACAGAGATATTCCCGAATAAACAATTACTAGCTAGCAATGGCAATGGAGGAGACGCCTTGGTATGCTGATATTGCTAACTATTTGGCAAGCATTATTATACCTTATGAACTCTCTTCGATTCAAAATAAAAAGTCCTTTCGTGCTTGTCGGTCTTTTTACTGGGATGAACCTTTACTTTTTAAAATCTATGTGGATAACATGATCTAGAGGTGTATCCCCAAGAAAGATCATTCTTCTGTTTTGCAGGCTTGCCATGCTTCACCATATAGTGGGCACTTTGGAGGAATTCGGACAGCTGCGAAGGTGTTGGAGTCAGGTTTGTATTGGTTGACTCTATTCAAGGATGCGCATGCCTGGGTGAAACGTTATGATGAGTGCCAAAGAACCGGTAACATATCTCGCCGTCATGAAATGTAGATATCTACAATTCAAGAGGTGGAAGTGTTTGACGTGTGGGGGATTGATTTTATGGGACCATTTGTCAGCTCGTATGGTAACAAGTACATATTAGTAGTAGTTGACTATGTCTCCAAATGGGTTGAAGTTGTGGCTCTTCCAACAAATGATGCCAAAGGAGTAATAGGATTTCTAAGGAAAAATATTTTCACATAGTTTGGCACTCTGAGAGCTATAATCAGTGATGGTGGAACTCGTATATGCAATAGAGCGTTCTCAAGGTTGTAAGAATAGTATGGAGTTCGCCATAAGGTTGCAACACCTTACCACCCGCAAACGAGCGGGCAAGTAGAAGTGTCCAACAGGGAAATCAAAAGAGCCCTGACCAAGACAGTGAATGCGACTCGGACTGATTGGGCAAGGAAGTTGGATGATGCGTTATGGGCTTACCGCACAGAATTTTAAAACTCCAATCGGCATGTCTCCATACAAGTTGGTGTTTGAAAAAGCATGCCATCTTCCGGTGGAGCTTGAGCATAAATCCTTATGGGCACTACGACAGTTGAATCTGGATATGGAAACCGTGGGCACAAGTAGAGTTACCGAGATACATAAACTCGAGGAGTTCCGGTTCCAGGCATTCTAGAGTACAAGATTATACAAGTAAAGGATGAAGATGATGCATGATAAGCACATTCTATATAGGAAATTCAAACCCGGAGATCTAGTGTTGTTATACAACTTGAGATTGAAATTATTTCTAGATAAGATGAAATGTAGATGGTCGGGACCATTCAGAGTTGTGCAAACATTGCCAAGCGGAGATGTAGAAATTGAGTTTGAAGATGGGACAAACAGGTTTAAAGTGAATGGGCAAAGGTTGAAACACTACGTTGGAATGATTAAAGAAAAAGGGGAGAAAGATGTGATGTACTTGGAAGAGCCCCAATATGTGAGCGAATGGTAATCCTAAAAGCATGTGTCGTGCCGCGACGTTAAATAAGGCACGTCCTGGGAAGCAACCCATAGTCGTGTTGTATTCGTCATGCCATGACATTAACTAAGGCGCTTATTAGGAGGCAACCAAATTCTTAGCGTAGATTTAGTTTAGTTTTAGTTTTAGTTTTAGTTTTTATTTGATATTGAGGTGGACTAACAAGTGAGTTTTGTGTGAATTTGAAGTGTTTTGATAGGTTGTGGAGCTACTTGGAAGAAAGATGTGCTTGAGGCTAAAACAGTTGTTGCAAAACAAAAAAGAAAACATTGAGCCATCGCGGGGCAAAGTTGAATGTGCAATCTTAGCATACCTCGCGTTGCTTAGAACAAAGGTATAGTGCCCCACACCCCGCCCTGCAGTAAAAATTCACTGTCCCACATGATGCCTCGCAGGGTGTAGCGCGCGACTGTTAGTGCGCCTGCTTTCTCCTTGCAGGGTTTGTACGTCGTCCCTCACGTGGCCTGGTTGTGTCCAACGCTGAAAAATTAGCGCGCCTGAGAGCGCCTCGTGGAGCTTCAAGGCCACATCTCACGTTGCCTCGCGCAGCCCAACACCAAGAGTCCTAGGTAAGTCTTTACTTTCCTATTTTGTTTTGTGTTTTTTTCCTTTCCACCTAAAACCCTACACCCCTCGTAATTAATTACCCATCCCCACAAACACCCCTTCCCTTGTAAAACCCCACACGCCCCAGCCTCTAAAACAAACAAAACAAGAAAATAACCTTTTGCCTAATATCTCCCAACTCCAATGTCCCGTTCCCAAGAAGAAACAAAAATCCAAGTTCCTCAAGTTGCCACCCCACCCCACTGCCTCGTCTTCTTTCTCAATTTCCAGGTATGATTCTCTCTCTCTCTCTCTCTCTCTCTCTCTCTCTCTCTCTCTATCTATCTCTCTCTCTCTCTCCCCTCTATTCTATGTTTTTCTATGTAATTTCTAGTTGTTGGTTAATATGCTTTACAAGGTGCAACAATGGTGCAATTGTGCTAAAGAAATTTCCAGCCCCAAATGCCCCATAGGATATCTTGTGATTATTGTAATGAGTGTTTCACACTCGATTCCTAAGCCGATTTTGGAGGGTGGAGCAATCCTTCACACACAAAGAAACTCATATACAAATAATGCATACAAGGTGTTCGATAAATTGCCTCATTGGCGATTTTAGTCCCAATTGGAGCCCGAGTCTCCGGGATTGGTTGTTTTGTGTTAGGTGAGCATGATTGATACGATAGCCTACGTGTGGGGTGACTCTACGGAGTCATGGTGGATTGATAAAGTGTGCTTGCAATGACATACGAGCTATATGTAGTGCTGCAATTTAGATGCTACTGCACTTACTTGATGAAGGCGAAGTCTGAGTAGCCTATGGTTTAAAGTAATTAGCATATCTTAGAGCTTTAAGTATGGGGTCACTCCGAATTTCTGTGATACTTCTTGTTTCCTTGAATTGACAATTGGTATGATTTGCAGGTAGGTGCAATATGGTTCGTCCAATAGCTAGTTCTAAGGCACTAGTTAAGGCCAAGGCACCACCAAAGGCAAAGGCTACCCTATCAGGCCCACCGCCAAAGAAAAGGAATAGAGTTGAGGCTACATCTGGTAGTCATAGTGGTAAAGGAAAGCAAGGGGATTCTGCTTCTACTAAGGAGCAACCTCAAGCGAAGGTGACTCGTGAGTATGGCATCAAGAGTGTGCCCCCATCTAGGAGGGCATGGTATAGGAAGTGTCATCCAAACTCATATCTCCCTGATTTTGCAGTTGATGAGCACAAATTGAAGTCCCGTTACCCTCATGTTTGGGAAAGAATAAATGAACTAGGACTGTGTTTTGTATTTAAAAATCTGGGAGAGGCAAACTGTCACGTCCCCAATTTTTCTCTGTAGGATGTCGTGACGGCATCTAGTCTCTAAGAGTAGGTAAGCCTAACAAATATGCGGAATAACTGAATTAATAAATATATGTCTCAAAACTCAACAACTATAAAAAATAAACTCTACGACTCAGTATATACATCAATGTCTATATATGAAAAGATAATGAATAAAGAGATCTAGAGAAAGGGGGACTCCGAAACCTGCAGACGCCGGCAGGTATACCTTGAAGTCTCCATAGTAGAATCCTAGCTAATGCCTGGGCTGATAGGAAGTATCTCGATCTGCACAAAAAGATGTGTAGAAGAGTAGCATGAGTACACCACAACGATACCCAGTAAGAGTCAAGCCTAACCTCGGTAGAGTAGTGACGAGGTCAGATTAGGGCCCTACTAGGAATAAATAAGAAAAACTATACAAGTAATTTAACGGTACAATAATAATAATAATAATAAGAACGGAAATGAAACAAGTAAGGAATATGACAAAATTTACTACATAGAATCAAGGCAGATAATGCATCACGGGAGAAGGCAAGGAAATGTTAAGGCAAGTAAAACAAACAACCAAACACAAATGAAGTAATAGAGAAATAACAAGAGTCACTACCGAGGTGCTACCTAATAGTCTCAAATCACAAAAATAATCAACAATATTTCCTTATATCACCGCGAGAGCCTTTACATTAAGTTTTGAAAATTATTTTTCCGAAATAGCATCCCGCGTTTTAGCCCACCTTATCACATCGCATGACTTCTAGTAGTTCCCATACTAGCCATGCGTATCAAGCCGACCTTATCTCACCGCATGCGTTTCAACACCTAAACCTTATACCACCGCATGCGTATCAATATAACAATGTACCACAAATCGCACCTCAAGTTCCTACTATCACAACTTGCCAAAAGGAATCAACAAATACAGTATTTTCACAATAAGGAGCCCACGGCTCAGCCACAATGTACACAAAGTCTCAACAATAACAACCAGAAGTGAATAACTCAACAAAATAGTATTGCACAACTTAACACTTTGCCTCAATAGGAATCACGGCCTTTGTAACTCAATACCAATTTCAACATCAAGTTATTTCAAGAATGACAACTTCAAGTAAAGGGTTCAACAGTTAAATAATGAATACGAAATATAGGAAACAAGAACTTCAACTAAATATGTAGAGTAATTAGCAAGTAAGATATAAGACAAGTTGATCGTGTGAAATTATACTAATGATGATTATTCATAACATGTTAAGACAACTTAAATAAGGCATGAAATGAATCTACGTAGTTAAAACCGGTAATTTCCATATTTAGCCTGTGTATACACTTGTCACCTTGCGTACACGGCTTCTACA